GACTGCAACCCTTGCCCTCACAGTTGTTCCTCTCAGTTCTATAGTAATCCACAAGGCCTAAGTGAGACATGCAACCTTTTAATTTTGCTGCCAGTTTTTCAATATTGGGAGCATATGAGGTGCAGTACCAAGGCTGCAGTCTTATATCACAGGGATAGGCAACCCTTATAGGCCATGAGCACACTTAACAATATGAAAAACTGTCCTGGACAGCACCCCAAAATGTACGGTGTGGAAGATGCGGAGCTGGTTGGAGCTGGGGGTCAGACTAGATGGCCCAGGAGACCCCTTCTGATGCGCTTTGTTTCTGTGTTTCTATAATTGCTGGTTTTATGGTAATATAGCTAATAGTAAGACCAGCTCCATGTTTTCTTTTTTTATGCTTTCCTACCATTTGTGATATTCTTGGTTTGTGCCTGAGATGCAAACACAGATATAGTTCTCAAAGATGGTGATGTGTATCTTGGTCAATACGATACTGGATCTGCAAAACCCTGGATGATCTGCAAGAACCTAATGGAGAAGTCTTCATCTTAGCAGGCTAAGTTGAAAAGCAGCTATCAAAGAGAAACAAAATGTTAAAAATGAATACTGTTTGCTTTATGAAGACTGGGGTTTCTGATTGAGTCAAAAAGGTTTTAGGCTACAAGCTTCTTGAAAAGCATTTCAGGACTGGCTGAGACAAAGTATCATATTATAAAAAACTCCTGATCTGCTGTTCACACAGTACAGTCTGATATGTTTCAGTCTGAATCTATAAGAAGTAGATATGCTGGGTTGGTAACATGTCTGCCCAAGTATCTGTTCTTGTAAATAGTCACATGTCCTTTGTTCTGTAATGTCCATGCTTGAGTTGCTAATCAACTGCAATCACTACTCCTTGCCCCAACATTTTCTTTTCCTAAGTGATAGACTCTACAACTTAATACTCTCCAGTTTTACAAGAAACTATGGCTGGAAGCTCTAGAGGAAATATGATCAATGCACTTGATCATGAGAGTTTTGTTACCATTCACTGTATCTAAGTTGCCATCTTAAATTGATTCAACTGGAAAACTTACTGAGCTAGCACCCCAAACTAAGCCCAGTCTTTCCCTAAAGGTGGTGGTGGGGGAGAAGGTTGGGTGCCAATAGAAAAATGTTGGATTCATTCATTCCCAAGAAATTTATGTCTGTAGTGGCATGAGTGCTTACTACTTCATGACCATGACTGTATATTGCTTTGAGGGTGTTTGTCATTTGGATGGTATATGACTCTAATAAACTGTGTGTGTGTGTGTGTGTGTGTGTGTGTGTGTGTGTGTGTAAAACAGAGAGAGAGAGAGAATTTCCAGAAAAGATGTAGCTTTGTGAGTCAAGCCAAACTGCACTCCAAAGTTTGACTTTGCTTGTAATTAGTTTAGCTGTAATAACCAGCTGTCCACACTTTTCTCTTCCACTAACTTCCCCCTGCTTTTTTCCAAACTTGTCTAGCAAGAAGAGGGGGAGAAGGGGAACTGGCAGCAAGGAAGCCAGAGACAGCAGAAGGCCCATCCTTAAATTTTCACTTGATTGGCAGGGCAAACGTGTTATGCCATACCAAAGGCTGGGAGTAGTTTTAATTTTTTCAGTTTGAGTAGCTGGAGTCTGCACAAAATAAAGCTATAATATATCCATTGAGAATTTAGAGGTTTCTTAGCAGTCTCTGATACCTCCATGTGACAGAATACTGGTATTTATAGTTTTTACTGTTTGAGTTAAGTTGGATTAAAACTACAAATCCCAGTAATCCTAGGGAGACAATGGAAGCTTCTCAGCATGCACCATTTTGGTTCTAGGATGCCACTAGCAATAAATAAATGCATAAACTTAGATGAGCCCTCTGCTGTTCTGTTGCTATTCTCAAGTTTTGTTGCTGCAAATTTTTCTTTTTCAGCCTCATGAGTTTGGGACAACAGCAGAAGGAGGAAAAGTATCAGGAAAAGTTGGAAAGTTGGAGACAATAAAAAGCTGGACAATGGGCTGGTCTTTTGAAGCTTCAAAGGGCACTCATGGAAAACTGAGTTTTTCTTAAGAATTATCTGAGAAAGCTTAGAAAGACTGGGCCTGTTCCAGATTGAGAAAGTGAGTTTGCAACATGTTAATTAATACTGTAATTAATATTGTAATAAATAAAGTTATTTATTCACCTAAATGATTAACTTCAATAAGCCTTCTCTACAGAGTGCTTACTCAGGTGAGAACTGTGAAATTATTAAGAGGTTGCTGGCAGTTCCTAGAGAAATGTGTATTGGAGGCACGCACATAGATTCTGATAAAAAGGGATAGACAGTCTTCTTAGTGGAGCAATGAATGAGGTTCCCATATGTAAAGAAGCCACAAGATTGGATACATGATATGGGCAATGTTGCTCCTTCCAGCTGGAGTGGTGCTATGGGAGAAGCCATTGGCGACACTTGCATCTGGAACTAGCCTTCAGATCACTTGGGAGAAAGAACATCAATTCACTGTCACAAATTGGTGGCTTGGTATTATAGTGTGGGTTTATGATTTGTTTAACTGGATTTTAATTATTTGTTGTAACTGTTTTTATGTACTTATTTTAATGAAGTTGTTATTTTGAGGGACTTCTTATCTGCTGAAAAGTAGGAAACAAATGGAATAATGTTTCCCCATTTCTTTCCCTCTCAATTTGCATTCAGAGTCAAGTTAACAGGTGCCCAACCACATCCTACAGAAGTCAATGTCAAAAACCTATTATGTCACACATTGAAAATAGAGTTCGTTTCTTTTGCCCTGACCCTGTTCATATAAAATTGCTAATCTGCAAAGGCAATGTTACAAATGCCCCATTGGCTTTAATGTGCTTTAATTTATAGGACATGCGATTATGGCTTATGCTACTAAATTTCTCCATGCATTTGTCAGTGTTCAACTATGTGGGGCATATTGTGAACTGGCCAACACAAATGATGAGCCATTTTTGCAGCTGTGCCTATACCACTACTGAGATAACTTGTAGGTTCACAGGTACTTTCCAGTTCACTCTAATCTTTATGCACAGTGTACCTGCATACATGTATGTGTGGAACAATTCAGAAGCATACAAATGACCTATTATTTAAATTAGCATTGCTTTTAGCAATCATGTTTTCAAAGTAGTATAAATTGTGCATACTTATACTGTGTTAAAAGAAGATATGTTCTTCAACTATTTGCTGTGATTCAAGTTACTTATGCATTTTTTCCACCTAGAAAAAGAAAGGAATTAAAAGAAAAGAGAATTAAGTAGGGCTTGCCTCTTTTGTTTATTATTGCTGTAAGCTACAAACCAGTTATTTGAGCAATAGGTACAAATTTGCATCCCTTCCTCTTTTTTGCCCCTCCTTGTGTTTTTTTTAAAACACTTGATAATTGTCCTGCTGACATGTAGAGGGTTAATTTTTTTCCTCCAGTCAAAAAATATGTATTTAATATGTGAGCATATTTGGTGTTCATTGACAGAGCAACAATAGGAATGATCTTGCTTTATGTACCAGTTACAAGGTTTAATATCATTATACTGCATGCAATATTAGTTTTTATTAGTCGCCATTAACAAGATGCTTTCTACTCAGATTCTCATTTACTTGTTCAATGCAAAAAAAAAAAATCTTTGCCAAAGACAAAAAAAGAAAAAATTTTCAAGTGTCAGCTATATTAAATTAAAGAACTGTTTACCCTTCCTAAGGAAAGCATATGTATCTAAATAGGCATCTTTTACCGTTTGCATAGTAGATTGGAAATTAGCATTTTTGTTCATTTTCCCATGTATGCACAGTGCCTGGAAGAGTAATACTCCATGCATATCAGATCAGCCAGCCTACAATTTTTGTGCAATATATTATTTGGCAATCTAAAATTTGTAATTTGCATGAAATTGCTTAATTAAAATACAGTCACTCAGGGTATTAATTTCTCTGTCTGGCAGTTCAATGTACTAAAGGCGGGCTACAGAAAATGTGAAATCCTGTCAGACAGAACAGTAAAATATTAGACACACGTACACACACGCCCCACTTCTGGCAATAAAATGATAGAGCGATAATGCTTGTGCCCTGATTCCGGGTTCAAATGAGAGCTCGGGTTGACATTGAAACCGACAAGGAAATGTACAATAGCAACTCTGGCTTTTTGCCAATAAATCTGCATCACGGCCGAAAGAAACCTTTCGCTCCCCCCACCTCATCCTTTATTTCTTTTCTCTACAAGCGAAGAATAGCGGGGGGGGGGGCTCCCCCTTTCGCTGAGCAGCCCTTTTCCTGTTTTCGGCAGTTTGATCTCTCTCCCTCTCCCTCTCTCTTTTCAAGATTTGAAAATCAACAACCCCACTGATAAAATGATCCAATCAGCCCTTCCCAGTTGTCAAGACAACAGTTCATAATTGTGCCCCCGCTCTTTTCTGAAATAGCTCGACATTTTCATAAATAGATAATTCTCTAATTGATCCAGCCAATCCTATTTTGCATACCGTTTCCAAAGAGAGGTACAGCCCCGGTTTTCCTGCCTAGTTGAAGAGGCAACTTTCCGCAAACACATGCAAATGAGTTTCACTTATAGGGAAGGGAGAGCAGAGAGGGAACATAGTTTTAGGGGTGGGGGACAGCGAAAGTAAATCGTACGGGAAGCTCGTAGGGGTTGACTGTTGTCTGTAAGGGGGGAGCAGAGGCGGCGGGACAGGCTGCAAACCTGCGGGGTTTGCAGAGCGGCGGCTGCCTCTGCGTGCTGCGGACCGCGCGCGCGGAAGAAGCAGAAGGAAGCAGAAGCTGAGAAAGCGAAACTCGGTGCCAAGCGAAGGTGGCACCAAAGCGCCTGTCTGGCATGCGCAGCAGGGAAAAGGGGGCCGATTTAGGCAAAACAGGCAGGAAACAAGGAATCACCCTTGCAGGGCTTTCCTCTGGCAAAGCGAAGTCTCGGCGTGTGGCGGATCGCTGGCGTTTGCGGGCAAGGGGGATGCCCTTTCTGTGCGGCGTCGTGAGCCT